AAGACATGGCTGTAGGAATAACAGTTCTTTATTAGGAAAAAAATAAAAGAAAATATAAAAATAAAAGTGAAGTAATACAAAACAACACTGACAGAGTCAGAATACAAGCTGATACCCTGCTAGTCAGGATGTTGGTAGCAGTCCCATTAAATGGTGGCTGCAGTCCTCCTGGAGTGACAATGTGGTTCTGTTGAAGCAAGGATCCTGCAGAAGGGTGGAGTTTTCCTCTGAAGGTCCAGCGGTCATATAGATGGGCCTGGTCTTCCTCTGGGAATCCAGTGGGAAAAGGCTGTCTCTCTCGTTCCAAATCTCAGATTATATCCAGGTAGGAATGCTTGGCTCCTTCCCCTGGGTGAAGCATCTCCCAGTGGGATGCTGTAATTTTTATCAGTCATGCAGCGACACTCAGTGTCCCATCAACAGAAGGTATTTCCCAGAGGGAGGATGGGTCGTGGGAGAGATAAAGAAATCTGCCCCACATGGTTTTAGCAGCTGGCCCAATTCGCAGGAGATAACTGCCCCACCTCTAACAGATGGCAATAGAATGCACACCCCCAGCCACATCTTGCACTTGCAACCTGACAGAGCTCCACCATGGTCTTTTCCAGGAATGGCAAGGGAATTCCTACTCTGGCACCTGCACCCTGTCCTCCTCTATGTCCAGCACAGGTCAGCTCTGTCCGCGTCCCAGACACTGCCCAGCAGCCCCATCCAGACCCTGGGCACCCTCATCCAGCACTCTGCAGTCCAGTGATGCCCTGTCTTAATAGCTCATCTGATTGAAAACCATGGGAATACTTGTGAAATAGGTATGGGTCTGCATTTTCAAATATATTTATACTGGACACAATATAAAGATGAATTAATTCCTTTAGAACAACAGAGAAAAGTACTTTGCTGTAAGATAAATACAGCTTAAGCCAATGTGATTATATCTTAAGATGAACAAAAACAATGAAATGTGGCCCTACAGTAAATGAAAAATTCCCTTGGATAAAATTTTTAAAATACTCTAGGGACAAATCTAGAAAACTCTTCACATTTTTCATCCTCCTTCACCTCAATGAACAAAGCTTCTGTCTACCTTTGGTGATCCTCAAATATTTGTTGCATCTGATAGTGGTTCTCTAAAAAGCAGATGATCATCTCTTTGGGACATGTGCCAGACTAGCAATATCCCAAAAACTTAGGTACATAAGCCTTATGAAGTGTTGCTGGCACTAGTGGCTGAGGCACTTAATTTAATCAGATGGGCTTGCCATTGCTGAAACTGCTAAATGTGTTTTCAGCAGAGCCAAGGAAAAATATAATTCATTAGACCGCTGACTGTGTTCAGCTATTGTTATTGTGCTGCAACATTTTGAATATAAATACAAAAGGCCCACAGAAAGGAGTATTTCACTGTTTGCATTTGCACATATTGCTGAAGGCCATTTCAGTTCTCCTGCTGATGTGTTGCACTGCCTTCCTGGCTGCCACAATATAGCATATGATTATATATCTGATGCCTATAAAACTATGACAAAACACACAGTTGTTACAGTATGCAACTATTGTCCTCTGTAATGACAAATGACAGCACACTTTTGCAGTATGGTGACTTGTCTCTGCTAATACAGAAACTAACTCATTTATAAGGAGAAGAAAAGCAAAAACAATAGTGCCATCACTAATAGTTGAGTCTGAAATAGGCAGAAAATGAGATTAGAGCTTTTACAAAAAATCATCAATCCCCTAGTATATGTTTTGCCTTTACTTCTTCCATAAGAAAAAAGAGATATCAAAGAAAATTATGACTAAGACAATGAGGAATCATAATCTGAAAAATTATACTATTGAATATTAGTCTATAACGCTTCTGGTTTAAGATATGGCATTTCTTCATACAGTGGTGCAGTATTTCTCAAATAATGTGAAGTGAAAATATGTCAATTCTAGATTGAATTTCTGTAAAAAAAATGACATTTCTTACAGAATTCCATACCATCCTAGTCGCAACTGATCATACTGCCAGAAGGTTTAGAGTAGTGAACTCTACCAGAGTAGAGGGTGAATTATGTGAACTGTAGCTGCAGCTTTCTCAGTTTATGTCACATTCCAGCTGGTTAGTTAGTTCATTTGCATTTTATCTTTAGAAAACCGAAGGCCAGAAGTTCAACATCTTGTGTGAAGGGATGCAAGAAGTGCACAGCTAGATTTCAGTAAAATCCAACCCCAGGCCTCCTCCTTCTTCTGTGTTGGCAAAACTCCCATTCCAGCCCCTCTACTCTCTCTGATCTTGGTTCTTTACCTTGCTTGCTCAAATGGTTCTTATCATACCAGACATTTGACAGCTCTCTGGAGAGTTCCTGCCTTGTGTCTTCACTTACTGCTTAGCTGCTTAAAGCTAGTTCCTACCTGGAAAGAACATCCTTTTCCCGTTGTCGCTGGAATCAGAGACCTACACATGCCACAAAGCTCTGAGAATTCTCTTGACATCACTAGTGAGTAACTACAGAAATTACTTCTATGCTTTTTCTTCAATTTTTAACATTTTCATTGCATTTTCTGTGATGTTGCCTTGAAAACTTAAAAACTTCCTGACAATTTTACTACTCAAGTCTCTCAATCCAAATAAATGTACATGAAAATCCACAAATTTAAACCTCAGAACACTACACAGAAAGACTTTCAGATCTGGTTTGATGGTGAGACTCCTGATACTCCTACAAATATTGAAATGATAACTTTCTCAATACTATACCATGGTGGTTTGTAGCTATTAAATATCTTCCCTGGAATTAACCTTTGAGATTCATACTCCCTCTCAATCCCTGATTTGAAATATCATTGAGTTTCACAGTAATTTTTGAGACACATTAAAATGTTCTGCAGCAATTATGAAGGGCCAGAGTTGAACAAACCTACAGAATTTTAATGAGTTTGCAGTGGTAATTATTTTTAATTGCTTTCCATCTCATTAGCGTACCAGGTGGCAGCTATGTAACCCCACCATGGATGCTGATTGTCTACATGGCCACATATTTCTCTGCAGACACTAATGAACAGACATGGCCACAGCCTCTGTAGTGGTCTACTCACAGCAATTTTCCTGTTCCTGTGAAGAAGGAGTCTGGCTCTGATCTCACTCACACTAAAATTAACTGCAAGGATATCACAGCTTCATACAGCTTCCAGCACACCTTTTTTAAAAACAACCAAAAATAATGTACACACATGCAAATATATTAAGTTCTGTTTTGCTGTGAGCTGTTTAAAGGCTCTTACTTACCACTTTAGAAACAAAGAGAATCATCTATGTTCCCTGTTCACACAGCAATATAGAAAAAAAAGGAATGTTCCTCTACACTTCCCTCCCTTCTATAAGAAGTTTTTATTAAAGTTATTAATTATTAATGACCGTTTTTAAAAAGAGTCAATTTCTCATGTGAACAGAAGAGAGAATTTTAAATGTCATAAAAAAGCAATAACAACAGACTCCTATGTGTCTGTTGACTGCTAGAGGAATTCATATGCTGTTATTTACTGAGGAAAAAAATCCAAACAAAAGAAACCAAAACCAAGCAATCTAGCTTTGGTTGAAGAAAGAAACATAACATTGCAAATTTAATTCCTTAGTTGTAAAAAAAGGTTCATCTCTGTAGGATTAGCACTTTTTAATAAATGCAGATTAGAAACTTCCTTATAAAAGCATACACTACAGAAAAAAACCCCAAAACTAATCTACAAAGAAACCTCTTATTTTTATTTCTGCAATAAAATTATTGTTTCACCCTGTTGAGGCTGTTTAAGAGTTCTGGCTTCCAGGTGCCTGAAATCAAAATGATTCCTATTTAAATAATACATCATTAGTGACAGAGTTCTAGATGCTGTCTAACACCTCTGCAATATCCAACAACTTGTGATGAAATACCTGTAAAGTTTAGAAATTTCCTCTGCTGTTTCTTAATAGCAAGAAACTCCAGGAGATAAAACCTGTAATGAGGTATCATTAGGTTCTCCTCCTTCTGTCCAGATAGATTTTCACTTCTTTATGCTTTCTCTTTTTTAAGAAATAAATTCTACAGAATAATTGATCCATTTATTTAATGTGTCTTTTTTTTTTTTTTTTTTTTTTGCCTGGATGTTTTACTTTCTTCCCAGGAATTTATTTCAGACAATTCAATTGCACAGTTAGAAAATGTATGCATTTTACCTGTTTCATATTAATAACATACATCTATCTGGTGCTTGTTTTCTGCTCCTAATTGAGCCTTAAAGCCACTATTTCTTTTAATTAAAATACTATCTTCCCTTGACACAAGGCATTGAATAGCCAAAGGCATCATCATCTCAGAAGATATCTCTCACCCTAGATATCATTTAGAAAATATAGATTTTATCATGACCTGAAGCATTTTGTCAGGCTCTAAACTGGCTACCTTAAACTATATTCTTTAGCCAAAAGTTCCTCCTGCCTTGGAGTTCCTGCACCTATGACACGACAAAATAACCAATGTTCTTAATAAACCTACAAACTGTGCTTCTGAAAATCAAGGTGTTGCAAGATGGGTCTGTTGTGACTGCTTGAAAACATCAGCTTAGATTGTTTCTTTTTTTAACATTCAAATGGTACAACTTTTACTTAAAAACCTTTTAATTTCTATATATGCTGGAGTTTTTTTTCACAACAGTCTTATTAGAAAACTAAACATAATAAACTTTCTTGCTACTAAATAATGGTATGCGTGAGATAACAATTACATATGATCCTTTTTATCCAAAAGGTTAAATTAAGTACTGCAGATTAGATTAGTGTTCACAGCAACAATTTTTTCCATTCATTTCTGTGCAGATGGGGTAATTAAGTGAAAAGAAGAGCAATAGGTGTCTGAACTGCTGGAGTCAAAGACAGATGATGCAAGAAAGAGTCAGATATTACCTTAAAAATGCAAATGAATTCAACATCATGTCCTCTATCCCTCATGTAACATGAGTGCATGACATTTAGTTATCGTCCTCATGGTTTAGGAGAACAGCCTGATCTATTTTTATGATCTACATGATCATATAAACATAATTTATCAAAACAATTCATTTTGTAAATACAGATCACAACTTCAAACTCAAAGAAATGTTGTGCCGCTCTTCAAGTCAAGCAAGCAAAACAAAACAAAAGTAAATTTAGAAATAATTTCACTTTAATGAATACCAATTTTTATATGCATAAATAAACTTAAATCCTGCCCTGGAATAATCTATGAAAGAAGCATGGAAAACGCAGTGAAGCTTCCATGTGAAAGGCTGTAGGTAAGTTTGCATTAACGATGGAAAATTTCGCAGATCAAGCAGCACTCTCTCCTTTGCAAACGTGTATTTTTTCTGTTATTACCTTACAATTGTGTCAGGACTTTGTGTATCAGCACAGCTTGAACTCATCAGCAGCTAAGCTTGTTATGGATAATCTTATTTATTCTACCACCTCTCTGCAAGATAATCACATTATGGTTCTCTCAAGGGCTTATCACCTTGAATCCACCCAGGACCTGCAACATGCACACAGAGGGAGAAAGAGATGTACAGATGAAAACCCAGCTAAATGTCTTTTTTTCTCTAGGCTTAGCATGATTACAATCCAGACTGAAAATTATAACTGCTACTATTAAATCTTTCCAAATAACAGAATTAATTGGCATAGAAATTAATTATAAATGTTATTAATTAGATTTTGATAAGGAATGAACATTTATATTTTCTATTAAAAATGTAAGGAGTCTATTACTCCCTAATACTCTTATCTGCAATGAGTTACCAATAATCCCAAAGACTACAGATATGATTTCTGTAAGAAGACCAAGATAATATTTGCCTTTCAATAAGGCACAGTGTAAAAGGGATACTTTCCTCCAACCTTCTACCAAGAACAAGAAAAAAAGCATTTTTTTGAGTAACTGAAAGCTGGACATTGAAAGGAATTTAATGAAGTCCTGTTAGACATATTGTTCATTGTCCAGATATTTGAAGAGACAGAATTACCTGTTATTTCATCACTTGGAGCTCTAATCCAGATTGGATTAAGTGCTGCTAAATATTTGGTTTAAATTGATCTTCCAGTGACAAAGAGATGTATTAATGTGTTCCTTTTTATAGAATCCAACATTATGTAGAAAAATATAAGGATAATTGTTTTGAATGTAAGAATTTTTTTTTGTTTGTTTGTTTTTTTTTTTTTTTTTGTTTTTTTTTTTGTTTTTTTTTTTTGTTTTGTTTTAAGTATGTCAAATAAATGTATCAGAGCCTGTGCTTTTATATACTTGGGAAACACTTCACAAACCAAGTCCAAATTAATTTTCATCCAGGGAATTCGTATTATCCATTAGGACTTCCCTTTGAAGGTGGACTTTGACCCTTTGAGTTGTTTGATCCTATTTGATCCAATATGATGACTAAATTGGTAAAACTAAACAACAACTCTGTCTTCATTGTGCTCTCAGACTAATTTCCCTCTCCCTAGTGTCTATTAAGACTGTCTTAAACACACCAGTCTCGCTGCACACAGTTCAATATGTCCTTATTTTCATATGTTGCCAGTCAGCAGAAGTTCTGTGAAATATGAAACCAAGATCTGTCTTCAGAAGCACTCATTTATTGTAGAAATTTGGTGTCCCTTTGGGCAGAACATAACCTTAAATGCCAGAAGCTTTTTATTTGGCTGTATTCTTGTGTGACTCACGTGGGTATTAGCTTGTATTTATAAACACCAGATACTTAATTCCCATCTCTATAACTGCTCCTTACATAAGCACAAATGTTAGCACACCCTGTGCAGTGTGGGAGGTGATTAAGTGTGAAGTGCTATTGTGAATTTCAAGTGGATCCTTCTGAATGAAGTACAACATGCTGTGCAAAGTGAAAAGATTCAATTGTTTGATTTGGTGCTCCTCCTCCTTCCTTTTCTCCACAGAGAAGAATTTTCAGTGTTAGAAAAAGAAGACAGTGACATATCTTAAACCAGAAACAAAATCAAGCTACAGAATTTTTCAAAATATATTTTATGATTTAGACGTAATTATTTTAAATTTTTGTTTATACAGTATTCTTTTGTGACAAAACTCTGCTGTGATGTACAGCAGTAAAAACACACAGTAAAGAAATGAGATTGCTACGATTTCCTTTTTTTCTAAATGTTTTCCAGACATAGAGAAATATATCTAAAAATTCACAAAAAAAGCACAAAAATATAATTTATTAAGGAAGGTAAACACACTTATTTACTTAAGCTAATATGAATAGTACCAGAAAAAAATGCATATTACCATTAAGGGGTCAAAATGAGTCAAAGTTATGAGATACCATATCTCATAACCATATCTCATATATATATATGGTATACATATATATCAAATATAGCTTTGCTTCACTCTCCTCATGCTCAAACACTTTCTTTTCATATTTTTAGTTCCTTATTGTATTTTCCACATAACCCACCCTTCATGTACAATTTGGAAGGTTTTGTAACCACTGGCAAAGGGGATGGTCTGGGGACCAGGTCCTGCTCATGAGGAAATTTAATACATCTCCCCTGAAATTCCTAGAACAGAATTACACAACATTTAGTTCTCTAATGACCTTTCTGGATCAGGAAGCAAAGTAGGACAGACAATGGCTTATTGGACAGTGTAGTTGTTTGCTTTGTGTAACCTCATTTTAGATGCCTGGGGTAATGGTGAATGGTGATAAAAGGAAAAATGCTAGAGACTGGAGGGGAATACAGGAAGTGGAAGCCAGGGAAAGTAGTAATAATTTAGATTGGAAAAGACCTCTGAGATCCCCAAGTCCAACTATTAACCAAGCACCACAATGTTGACCATGAGAGCTAAAGGTTATGAGGAAATCAATAAAGTATGTTTTGAGCTTTGTTCTCATATTTTACCTACACCTCAGTCATTCATAGATGCTTTGGCTGGGTCACTCGCTGGCTGTGCCATGGGCTCAGAAGCAACTGCTCAGAATGTGGTCCTGCTCAGCATGCTCAGCCCCACAGGACTGGCAACAGACCTGAGCTGGCTGCCTCAAGCTTCCTAAATGGAAGCTTTCTAATTAATTTTTAATGGTCCCTGTGCATCTCACCTTACCTAAATCATCAAGGGATTTTTTATTTGGTGTACCCATTCCCTTTGTTGGTTCAAGAAGAGGAGGGCTGACCCATCATCAAACACTTATGTATATTATCAGATGCTCAACAGCTTATTCAAGAAAAATGTCACTGACCCCACTGCCCCTCCTGTGTGCACAGAAGTCAGTGATCCCACATGCAGGTTACTGAGTTTCCAAAATGAGGCTGGTGATTTTCATATATTACACCCTGTGGGAAGGGAAAAATATCATCTTTGAGAATACAGATCTTGGCTTTTCATCACAGAAGAGAGATTTCCTTTCTAGACTTCACTCCTCAGAAATGAAACTGATGATAAAAAGAGCTTATCTCCATCTCCAACTTCTCGCCCTGTGGCAGTATCTCACCAATTTCCCTTGATGAACTAGAAAGACTCAGATGATTTATAGGATTTTTAAGGAACTTTCCATTTTCTCTGTGGTGTAGTCACCTTATTTAATCTTTTGAAAGCTCTTTTTTCCAGATTTCAACTTTTTGCTTAGAAATAACAATCCCAGATATAATTATAGTAAAAAAGTTATGTTATTCAACTATGCTGTTCACAGTTTTTCACCTGGTAACAGTCATAGATCCTGTGGTACTCTTCACCATGCATTAAACCTCACTCTGACCTCCCTGCTGGTCTGATACCTCCTGGTGCTATAAAGGCAAACCATCAGTACAGCTCAGAACTAAATTAACATAAACAATTTTCTTCAGTTTGATCTATCTGCTCACTGATTTAAACAAACTAGTTAAAACCAAGAGGTGTTTCCAGCCCTTGGTTCTTCATCAGTATTTAAGACTGTTGCTTCCTGTTGTTAATTTCTATGTCCTGTAGCTTCTTTTAATTACTGATCTGCTGTCTCTGCAGTAAATGCAAAAATTAATAAAATATTGCAGACAGATTTGCCTTGTAGCAAAGTCAAGACTGCTTATTTTGAATCCAACATTCTCACAAACTCAAACCTTTTATTTCTTGGCAACTCCTTTTTCTTTTTTTTTTTTCTTTTGATACTGAAATCTGTATTAACACAAATCTCAAATACTGCTACTAAGTATACTTTGCTTACATGCTGATATATATTTCTAAAGAGAATACAGAAAGATCAATAACTGCAAGTAAAACGGCCTATTGTAACTTACAATACTTAAGCTAAAAGGAAATTTATAAAATAAAAACGGCAACTTTTACATAGATTTTAATGTATGGCATTCTATTACTTCAGATCTTGTACTTGAATATACACTTTTGTATTAAAAAGACCAGAACTTCTGCCAGTGTGAATAATAATAGTTCCCGTATTTTGGGTATATGGTTTATTGGAACTAAGAGTTTCAACTTATAAATTAAAAAGAGTCTTTAGTAAAATTTCAAAGATTTATTTTTCTTGGTTTTTTCATTTGTTTATTTTTGTTTATTTTTCTTTAAAAATTTTTTGGGGTTTCTTTGTTTTTTTGGGTTTTTTTTTGAGTTTGGGTATACATGTGGCTGAAACATCTCTGCAAATATACATACACATCAGTGTTTACAGGGAATCTAAGGGAAGGCTAGTTAAAGAAATATCATTAGGTTAAGCTCTAATTTCTGGCACCCACAACTGAAAGCATCCATGAAGTTGTTCTCTGACAGTCCCAGGAAACAATTGCAGTTGTACTGTAATATGCTCAAGCAAAATCAGTTACAAGCTTAAAATATTTCTGTTCTCTCCTACAGAAAGGAAACCCTCCTAGCTCCTTCATGCAAACATTGTCACATAAAAACAAGAAATAGGGGCCACAGTTTAGCCTAGAAGCTGTGAATATCTAATGGATTCTGTCTAAGAGACAAAATTCTCCTCTGCTTCCCTCTTCCCTTCAGACACCTTTGCATATCACGCTACAGCCTGTCTCATCCACACTTGTGGGGTTACATATCCAAGTGCAACAGGATCAATCATCAATTCTGTGTCACCACAACACCCACTACATAAATAAAACAAATTAAATTCTCAGGCTGTTGTTCAGGTGAGCCTTCCTCTGCAGCTGCCTGTATGTGCTCGTGAAATCTCTGTTCCTCTGTTAGATTCTCTTAAGGAAGGAATCCTGTCTTTCCTTTCCATCTTTATACAGCATTTGACACCCTATCAGCGCTTGCTGTGTTAATTAATAGCAACAACAACTAATTAAATAGCTTGATTGAATTCGGTATGCTAAGTAGATGGATAAAATGCTTTAATTGGTCACACTGGATGGACGGTGGACGAGTGAGGTTTTTACTTCACATGTTTTCACTTTGTCAAGACTGACAACCCTTTTCCTTGTCTTCAGAGCTGAAAGTACTTAGGGAAGTAATGCATTTAAGACTGATATAGTAAATTCATTATTAAACAAAACAGTAGAAAGCATTCCTGTACTAGCATACAGATAAAAAATATTTTTTTTTTCAGGTATTTAGTCTTCACCACTCTTTCTCACCAATGAAAATTTTGCTGAGTAAACCATCACATTGTTTCTATGTGCCTGTATGCAAGTTACTCAGAGCATTACAAATACTGAATGGTTTGAATAAAAAAGGGAAATCAAATCCTACCAAGAAAATTCCAAGACAAGAGACCAAGCTTTAAAATATCCCTTAAAATTCCACCCAGTAGAAGGTTGAAATTTTCACCCAGTGTCAATGATTCCATGCACGTGTCTACATGTGTCAAAGCACACCAGAATGAAATATAAGAACAAAACATCCCTCAAGAGCAGTATAGCCTTGAAATCCAGGGACAGATGCAGAGGAAACCAGAGTAATTCTGGATGTGATCCTTGCTACTCTGGGAAAATACTCCAGAGTCTCCGGGTCTCCTCTCTTGTTCCACTGCTCACTGCTATCATGGAGGTAAACAAGAACATCTTAATGTAGATAAACTCAGACCAAGTGTAATTCACATCCAAAATGAATGACCAAAACTAACAAACAATTGGTTAATCATGGCAATGTTCCAGTGACATTTTATAGGGAATAGTGAAGTGTTGCCAGTCAGGAACATTATTATTTCACTCAAAAGATTGAAAGACCACCCCACACAGCAGAAAAACAGTCACTGACCCAGGCATGGAGGAGTGGGAGGATGGGAGGCACTCAGTCGTGGTTTGTGTCCTTGGGGAGAATCCCAATCCCAAGGGAGGGCTTCCAGTCACAGAGCCACAGCTTTGAGGAAAACGACTTCAGGGGTTTCTGTCAGGGGCATTGTGGTGTACATGCCACAGCCAAAGTGAGACCAAAGGGTGTGAAAGGCTGGTGGGCACCACGACTCTACAAGATCCACAAGTGCCTGATGGAAATAGTGCATAAATAAAATATTAAAAATTAATTATAAAATACTATTTATAGTGCCTTATGAACATTGCATTAATAATGTCAGCATCTGCCAGAATTTGATAATAGTCTCAAAACTAGATCCATTATAGTCAAAAATTATGAAAGTCTTTAGTATGCACTAAAGGGTTTACTGTCACAAATTTTATCTTTTTTTCTATTTGATCAATTAGTAGTTTATTGTATCTGAGCTTTTCATTCCCTGTGTTTTAGGTCTCCATGAATCTGCTGTTCATGTCTACTGGATGATTGGGCTAACAAAGACTACAGGTATCAGTGTGTGAATTCCTAGCCTAGTTTTTAAAGGCACATTACAAGACAAAATTTAAAATATTGTCTGTTTTGTAGTTTCTCTGTTAGATAGTTTTTTGTACTATAGACACCCATATAAAATTGCATTTAAATAATTAATCTTTCATAAAACTTTTTTTAAAGATAATTTCATGTTACAATATAATTAAAGTTCTGTAGTAATTCAGTTGTACAGAAGATAAACTGTAAATAAACTGCTGCTTCTATGATTCTGTGAATTAGGACATAATCCATGTTGCTTATTAAAGGCTGTTTATTGAAGGCTGAGTGTTTATTTTTCCAGTTTGCAGTTATACCTTTAAATTGTTAGAGAGAGAAAACTTGGAGATTGAAGAGGATCTGCAAACAAACAACCAATAACAAATTGCAAGCTAGGCTAAGCCTAAAAATATTTTCAAGCTTTCACTAACTTTTTTTTCAACAAACCCCACTAAGCCACAACCACCCATCCAAATCATTCAAAATCCATTACTAGAGCAGAAAGATATACCAGCCAGAATTTTCTTGCTGTTTTTGACTGTGGTTCACAGATTGAAGTAGCAACAATGAAAACTAAAGTGGTTACTTGCACAGCCTCCTAGGCTAGATCCTTAGCTAACAAGGCAACATAAAACTGCTCACCAAAACAGGAACAAGGCTGCTAGAGATCAGCCTCTGAGCTCAAAAGATTAGGGATTTTCTTTCTATATCTGTGATTTTTTGGCACTGCTTACAAGCAAGCTTAGCACTTGTGAGGAAAAGTCTGTAACTTGCAGGTTATTTCTGCCAGGATGGGAATTTTCTAAAAGTCTTTTGTACTGAGCCCTAACAGCAAAAACCCATGCATCATTCAGCTTGCCTCATTCACAGAAGTAGTGCATTTACTATATTAAGATAACCTTTTAAGGAATGACCTAATTAAAAAAATTGAATGAAGGAAAAACAAATCACTGGCACTTTAATGTAATTGTAAGAGAAAAGGCTGTGTTAACTGCTGATCCTCAGAGAAATCCAAAACCAGCAACAGGAAAATATTACCACTCAATAAAAGTCTTGGCAACTTCCCACTGAGACCTGAAACACAATATGTCCCCATCAAACACTCACCAACTTATTGGATCATTAGGTAAAAGCCAGAGTCAGCTGAATAGAGTGCTGGTCTCTTTAAAGCTGAAATAATTCCTAGTACAATAAATAAAGCAGGCACAAATAGCCCCACATAATAGGAATCATTAGAAATAACAAATATTAGAAAGGGATGCGCTAATCTGTGTCACTTTGAAAAGTTTCATAGTGAAGTTAACTTTTCTTTGTCATAATGTTCAAGAAATAATAGCAGTCCAAACAACGTTACTTTCCATCTTCTGTAAACACAGGAACCAGAATGTCAAGGACATGAAACTCCAATGTTTCTCAGTGGAACTGGAAGAAGGCAGATGGAAAGGAAAACGGCATCTGAAAATGTTATTGCAAATAACTCCCATTGCATAAATGTGCAAATAAAGGCAATATTTTTTTAACTTTCTGTTCTTTGAAAAATATTTTCTTTTAAGGTCCTCTTAAGCTACTACCATCTATCCAGAAAACCTTCTGATTTTGCTCCATCCATACCTTCTAGAGCCCCTTCTTCTTACTTCCATTCCCCTTTATGACACTTTAGTACATCTCACAATTCTGTTTCTCTCTCCTTTAGTGATGCCTCTCTCCTGGCTTCACCATTAAATCTCCTTCCCTGACTAATCCCTCAGGTCTGTTTCATGACCCCTCTCTCATGCCTTGTCTCTCAAGTCTCCTTTCCCCTCTCTTCCACCTCCACCCTTCCTTTTCTCCTTGCTGCTTATGACTGAGAGGTGAAAATAACCTCTGCACCACCTAATGAAAATAATCCCTGAAGATCCTCTTCAAGAAGATAGGCATATTCCTACAAACCAAATATCTATCTCAATGGAGAGAAAAGTGCCCTTTTCCATTAGATTCCATTATATTTCCATCACATTTTTTCTTCTTTACACACTTTCAATGTTCTTGTTGGATATTAAAAAAAAACCACCAAACAAATAATGTGAGAAAATTATAACTAGATTAATCAACTATTAGTGACGGAGAGTGAGTGAGGAAGTGTGAATTCCCCTGACTTCCACAATGCACTGTCTAGGTCAGCTGCTAACAACAGGTGTAGATCTGTTGACAGCCAGGGACCTAGGAGGATTTATGCCATTTAGAGAACTACTCCAGTATTTGAATGCAAGAAAAATTGGGAGCCACCTGAGTCCTGTGTAAGGAAAATCAAATAACTTATTTTCAAGCATTTTTTCATAGGAAAACAGACTTTTTAGCAGCAGTCAATTATGTTTTATGTATTATTTTCTTAGACAACAACAGAATGTTTAACGTTCCATAGCTCTCATTTAACTGGTTTTTTTTTAATACTTACTCAAGTAGTTTCTATCAGAAAAAAAGACACAATGAAAATATATAAGAAAGTAAATATATATGAAAATACATTTACTTTCTTTTGATAAGAAAACCCATTTCTGTTCAACCCTCTTGTACTGGTAAACTCCTTGAAAGACATAAGGAAGCAGTGGCACACAAGCTATAACATTACAGCATTTGTAATGAATTAGATTTGCCGGACTTGACACAAAAAACCCAAAGAAATGTGCAATATTGTAATTAACTATTAACTGGACTCTATGTGCAACTGTGAGTATAATTCTTTTCTGCTTTATGCTTTTTTTTTTGCATGAAGCTCTACTCAACAAAACCTCTGCCACATTCAAATGATGACAAACAGTTTTCTTGCACTCAGTATTGAATAAAATGTGTTCATCTTCTCATCCAGAATGAAATTTTGATGGGACATGTGGGAAAACAATAGATGACTTGGATGAAAATCTTTTTTGTGGGATAATTTTCCTGATCTAAGTTACAGCGGCTGCATTCATGTGCTCCAGGGGAAGAGGGCTTCAGAGATAAGGAAAAGAGATTTCAGCAAGGTTTCTTCTTGCATCTTTGAATCCTGTGATTCCTGAATCCTTCACAACTCAAACTCAGAGACAGCAGTGAAATTTGGATGGGAAATATTTTTTTTTTTACTTATTTGTTGTTTATTTCAAGAAATCAGAGAGTACCCTCTTGAAATAACTTAGGAAATACTGGCTTCATGTCTTTACCCAGAATATACTAAAAAAAAAAAAAAAAATTAAAACAACTTAAGTACACTCGGAGACAAGAGTTTAAGAAAACACATTATTTTTCAAAAATCTGCTTTCCCTCAAAAAAAGAAAAAAAAAAGAAAAACAAACAAACAAAAAGCCCCCAAACAACCCCAAAAACTCCAAAAACCATGCCACTCTAAATCAACAGTCTCCTACATTTCAAAGGCTAAGCAGGGGTGGAAACATAGAAGCTTTAAGGTACCTTTTCTTAAAAGGCAAAGTGTAATTTTCTGTTCCATTTCTGCCTGTTTTCACCTGCTTGTAGGGCAGTACTGCCTTTATAGCACACTCAGTTACACTCTCTAGGCATTCTCTGGCTGTTTTAGCCTAAATTCTAGTGGCTTTTTTTTTAATGTGTTGTAGGGTTTCAGTGTCCTAGCACCTCCTTTCGTAGGTGTTTAGGGGTAGCAAGGATGCCTAGCATCCAGCAGAATTACATACAGAAAATTTCTCTGGAATGCTCTGGTTGTGGAAAATGTCTCTGGAATGTTCCAGCAAGATGATCAAAGGCATGAACATTGCAGCCTCCTAGCCTTGGGAGAAAGAAAACAAAAAATCACTTAAGCAGAATCAATGGCAATGTGATATGGATGGGCAGGAATAAGATCAGAATATTTATGAAAGCTCCCAGCCAAGCGGATTTTGTTTATTCCTGATACAATACAGCATAATTCCCATTTTTACTGAGCAAAGTTACGGTTTTGACAACATTTTCCACTCCTCACCCAACAATCCAAAGAAAATCTATCTTGCTTATTGAACATTGGCATGTCAAAATCCTTATAAATTTATGGCTTATAAAACATAGATGTAAATTCGTAGTTCAGAAACATCTCACATTCCCAGAACACCTTCTAGTTCCCCATCTGCAATATAAAGTCAGACCGATCTCTTTAAATCAAAATTGGATTTTTCTGACACTTCGTCTCTTTGTCATGTTTTCTCCTCACAATATCTGTGCTACAAAACTCCCTTTCTTTATCCATTTATAGCATCATAGGATACACATCAATTTTACAGGTAACAAGACTAATGTATATGAAAAAAAATCTTATAAATCATATTTGTGGAGAGGAAAACTCTGTTAAACATCACAGTCATTTAAAGAAAACCAATTTATTTTGTAATTTTTTTCAGCTGATGTGTAACATTTTGAAATCAGGCTCTGCTGGACACATTTATTGTGATGTTGTAAATGATGTGCAATGCACATAAAACTGTGATAGGGGGTATTTTTCCCGATGAAGGAAAACAGCCTGGCTATTCTCAAGTGCTGTAATACCTCTAACTTCTCTTTTCTTCCCTCCCATAACAAATTTTGTTACATGTTCAGCAACTCATTTGTCCCCTTTGACAACAGACAGAAGGATGAGTATCTTGTAATTCTGACAACAACTTTCCTCCTCCAGTTACCCTCCATGAATTTGCATCCCAACAACATTCCTAACTGGGCACAGCACCATGAGCAAATGGATCACTCCAAACACTGATCTCTTCCTGCTTTCTGCTGTACAAACATGCAAAAGGAATTATAAGTGTTAGTTATATCTAGTTATGTCTAGTGAATTTTAATGATCCAAAGGCAATAGTTTCACACAATTATTTTGAAACCTACTCATTCAGAAAAGTTCTCACTCCTCAGATGCATTCACTTTTGTCTTTATCATAAACAAATACCTTAAATGGATTGGGGGGGGGGGGGGGGGGGGAAAGGCTGGGGGTAAAATTAAAGAAAAATGGAAAGTTATAGGCACAGTTATAACAGTAGAGAAATTGTAGTGGGAAATGTGGCTGCTGCTCCCTGGATGTAAAGTGGCCAGCATGCCCAGCTTCCCCACACAACACATGCTGAGGTGGGGATGAAGCAGGGGTTGGAGCAGAGTGGAGACACCGTGGCCAGGCTCTGTTGGAATCCTTGCAGAGGAGCAAACTCCATGCTACCTTTTAGCCGATAAGCCACAGAGCAGCTGTGAACCAAGGGAGATAAAAGAAGACCAGCAACTGTGGCAAAATCCCTCTCCTGGGATGTAACACTGCACTTCTCCATCCCAAGGTTACCTTCACCGTACAACCACAGCTCACTGACCATTACGTGTGACTAGAGTCACCCAAACTGCATGTGATTATAAAGAAACAGTACAAAAGTAAGTTAGGAATGGGTGGAAGTCAGACTACACTCCAACGTAACTTTTGGGATCGCGCTGAATTTGTCTTTTCCCTCATTGGGTTGCCTGCTGGATAAGAGCCATCCTCTAGGAGCACTGAATGATCACCTGGAGTGAGCTTTTGTTAGGGGTTAGAGCTATTCAAAGCTGTGTATTGCTTTGAATACATTTTTGCAATCAGATACTGTCACCAGCAATCCTCAAACCTCAAACTGTGACAGTGTTATTAATAATGAGCATTCCATGAGCCATCAGTGTGAGTCCTTCAAGGGAGTTAGCAGTTGTTGGCAGAGGGAAGAAACTCAAATAAAGGCATGGAGACCCAGGGAGGGGGAGTCTCTTATATTCTGTGTGTGTCTCTGAACAAGTCAGTCAAACTGCTCTCCTACTCAGGAGGCTGCTCTCTGAAGGGTCCCCAAAAAGGGATGATGACAGGCTGGCTGGGCACAAGGAGCTTGGCTTACCTGGTGTGCTGACAGACTGATCAAACACAAAAGGTTTGGAGAAATCTCCCTTTTCACATGACATGGATCAAAATGTGCACTGTCTCTCCTTTTCTTGTAATGCTTAACTACATCCACAGAGATAACTGTGAAGTAGAGTTGGCATGTAAAACAATCCATCCTTATTTTCAGAATATTTCAATTAGCTAAACTGTTTCATGTACCTACTGGTAGTTCCATCTGGATAATGATTCAACAGAATTAAATATATTTTTAGAGAAGTCCCTGGATTAATAAAAATGGGGAATAAAAACAACTCTTGTCTTTAAGAAGCCCATCCCAGATGAGAAAAGACAGTTCTGCCCCTTTACATTTCAACAAAACCTGATAAACTTGCATCTTGAAACACTTCATTATTCTTTTCAGAAGAAGCAATATCTTTGATTCCTTACTCAGTTTGACACTCAGGCTTTCATCTCTTTTTCCCCAAGGCTTGCCTCAGAAAGATTAAGAGAATACTTTCCCATTGTAGTAATGACCAGCATAGCATTAGACAAAATTGTCAGCCACAATTAAAGGAATATCATGCTGGGGCTTGAGGTCTAGTAAATTCACCTGTTTCATTTCATTGTTTCTGCGACCTAAGGTACCTCCTGTTTCTACTCCTGCTTCTTTAACAACATTGCTTTGC